GGGCTAGGTATTGAAAGTTGAAAGTAAAACTTGAATGTTCTGTTGGTGATTATTCGGTTAAATGTAATAAACATTAATTTTATTTTTGCTTCTAATTTCTGTTTTTTTTGGGGGGGGGCTTGGGGAGAACCCGGTCTCGGTTGACACCCGGCCCCGCCCGAAGTTTAGTGACCGGGTAAGGTAAATGGTACTGAGGTCTTGCATCACTATGATAACTTGAAACTCGAGAAAGAACCTCTCTAAACACGTTATGAAATCATTAGAATATTATATTTTTATCATAACGTATTTATGTGTTTTTAGCTAGTATTTAGGGCCCACATGTAGAATCCCCTACTGGTCAAATTATGATGTCACCCGTGACCATGTGATAGCCCTAATCCTAACCCTAACTCTAATCCTGAAGTTTTTATACAAAATGATAAAAACACTATAAACCGAGTGCTTTCGAAAGTTGGTATTTTCTTCTGATTCTCAGTTTAACCCTGAAGAAGGAAGATCCAACTTTCGAAAGTACTCGGGTTACAGGGTTTTTATCATTTTGTATCAAAACTTCTTGAACCTATGTGTTTTTTTTGACAACCTAAACATTTTATGTGGGGATTCTATAGTTATATCATATTTAAAATAAAGCACCTTGTATTAAAGCCCCCCCCCCCCAGTGGCACAGTGGTATGTCTGCGGACGGGTATCGAAACCTGGTTTCTAGCGTTGTAAAAAGCTACACAATGGGCTATCTGTGCTCTGCCCACCACGTGCTTAATTCCAAACAAAATTAAAGTCGGTGCAATATAATATTATTATACCTTTACTATTAACTCTACATACAATTTGTATTTTTATTGTCTAGGTGCTTAATGTGCTGAGTACTTGAAATCATAGTACGAGAAAGAATCACGGCTTCTTGATTTGGCGTAACCATGGCATCTAACATTGCTTGAATCAGTGTGTATATAAACAGCACTGGTGATGATGGTGTTAGTTTATAGCAGAATATGACGTAAAGATGTTGAATTAAAAGTATTTAAAAATGTGACTGATTTTGTTATCTTAATAACCAAATCTGATCAAGGTTCGAAGGGTTGGAGCCACCACAAGAGGGCGTTTCTTTAAACTGCGACCTGTGGTAGGTTTAAGTCCCGATCTTTTGTTAGTTACACGGAAGTCTTTCTTTCGTTCACAGTGTTAACTCCTCACCAGCCGAGCCAATGTTGTTGATGTAGTTAGTAAACGCAAGTTGGTCACACATCTTTAATGAGTGGCTAACTGCATCTCAGGTAGATTTGGACACAAGACGCCAATTAGCTAAGCCTTTCTGTGCCTACTGACACGAGACTGCATGTTATTAAACAGTGGTTTGAAGGTCTGAATGACATATGTAAACCTGAAGAAATGATGTACTTTCATCAGTGGTTTCAAAATATAGGTTTATTTCTATTTTGGAGTTAAATAAATCCAACAAGTTTGCTAACTAATTATACTGTTTCCCACAGGAATTATAAAATGAACAAGAAGACTTCTTAAAACTGTTGGGATTATCTATCTCTTCTTAAAGGTAACTGTTGGGATTAGCTGTCTCTTATTAAAGGTTCACGTGGATTATCTATCTCTTATTAAAGGTTCATGTGGATTATCCATCTCTTATTAAAGGTTCACGTGAATTATCTATTTCTTATTAAAAGTTCACGTGGATTATCTATTTCTTATTAAAGGTTCACGTGGATTATCTATCTCTTATTAAAGGTAACTGTTGGGATTATCTACCTCTTATTAAAGGTAACTGTTGGGATTATCTATCTGTTATTAAAGGTTCACGTGGATTATCCATCTCTTATTAAAGGTTCACGTGGATTATCTATCTTTTATTAAAGGTAGCTATTGGGATTATCTACCTCTTGTTAAAGGTTCACGTGGATTATCTACCTATTTTTAAAGATAACTGTTGGGATTATCTACCTCTTTTTAAAGGTAACTGTTGGGATTATCTACCTCTTATTAAAGGTAACTGTTGGGATTATCTACCTCTTATTAAAGGTTGGTGCGGATTATCTCTTATTATTTAGATTTCCTTAGTTCGTTTCAAGTTTAACTAGCAAATCGAGATCCATTTTATGTGTTCCAGATATTCTACATATGGATTGTGATTTTCACCAACTTACAAGAACCGAATTATTGTGCTTTTTTGTTTTACAAAATACCCATTTTGTCAGATTTCTGTACACGTTTTACATACGAAATACTCATTTTGTCAGATTTCTGTACAGGTTTTACATACGAAATACTCATTTTGTCAGATTTATGTACACGTTTTACATACGAAATACCCATTTTGTCAGATTTCTGTACAGGTTTTACATACGAAATACCCATTTTGTCAGATTTCTGTACAGGTTTTACATACGAAATACCCATTTTGTCAGATTTCTGTTACAGGTTTTATATAAGAAATACCCATTTTGTCAGATTTCTGTACAGGTTTAACATACGAAATACCCATTTGGTCAGATTTCTGTACAGGTTTTATATAAGAAATACCCATTTTGTCAGATTTCTGTACAGGTTTTACATACGAAATACCCATTTTGTCAGATTTCTGTACAGGTTTTACATACGAAATACCCATTTTGTCAGATTTCTGTGCAGGTTTAATATAAGAAATACCCATTTGGTCAGATTTCTGTACAGGTTTAACATATATTTTAATTATTCGTACGGAATACTTACACATCCCATCAAGGTACCGCATACTGGAAACGGTGTGTCCGTGACCACAGTAAATTCTGGTACACTCTCCGAACTCTATTACCCACGCTCGTGCAGTTTTGTCTGAACTGCACGAATACATCATACGGTTATGAACCTGTGTACGAGAATATGTTTATTGTATAGTTCTAATAACTTAAATTATACCTCAATTATAAATCACATAATTTATATAAACATGTCACTATATATCCCAAATGTTGTTGTATAGTACACACCATTTCAGTAGGAAGAAAGCTGCCTTTCATCGTTAATCGTACCCTAAACTTGCCACCATCCATTACATTATATCTGGTGGAAAACACCACAACACCTGTTGCAATAAATTTTTAGGTTTAGTGAGGTTTTGGAGTCTGGTCTTTTTTTTTTTCTTTCGTGTAGTATTCAGAAGCACATTAAAGTAGCCCAATTAATTCATATTGGAACTCTAGGCTTGGTAGGACACATTCAATATGTTGTTTGCCCTAAATTATTGCTGGACAAAATATGGGGTATAATGCATTATAATCCTAAAAAAAAGAAATAACCCACCTCCTTGGAATTCCACGATTGCAGGTAGGGCAGCATTGTGTAATGTGTCACAATACAACAATAACTTATGACACCATTGCTCATTATCTATGAGCCAAGTCCAAACCAGCTAAAACAGACCTTCAGCCTTTAACAGTTGGAATGACACAGTCATACTTCAAGTTACCATCAAGCCCAAAATCACCCACCCATGGCCAAAACAAAAACATTAGAGGGACTGATTGCTATAGATAATGGTTTACTCATTAGTATTCGTCACCGAATTTCGACGCACAAGGCATCATGAAAGTTCATGCTTTGCGTAAAATCAAAGGCTTGTTAGCTGCTGTCTGTCTGCGAAATCTATCAGTAACTGAGGTCTCATTGGGTGTGCTGCCTGCGCTTCTGAATTCATGGGCGTTGGACTTAATGCCAAATGTTTCACTTCTAACATTACGTACTTTGGCCTATTACGCTCTTTAAAGCCCCATTAACTCTTTTTCACGTAGAATATTGATTACATCTGATCCAATGAAAACCCATCCATTACAGGCTTTTTGGTAATACAGTTTAGTTAAATATATTTATTTTTTGTGACAACAAAAATCACACAATATTGTTCAAGTTTTATAATTAGTTATTTAATTTTACATTTTCAAATTCAGTGTAAAATATAAGATAAAGACCTATAGTTCGTTTTGTAAAACCAGGGATTTAATAGTAGTAATTCTAATGCAATTAAAGAGGTTAAAATTCACGGGCAAAGGCAACTAGTCTCCGCCACGCAATCTCAACATGGCCAATTTTGAGACCAGAATAATCGTGAAAAACACAGAAAAAAATCGAAAAACGTCTATATCACTGCTTGGGACCTGCAAGAAGGCATCTTTGTACCAAATCCCATGTAAGTTGGTTGAAATACACATGGCTAGTTCAAAAATCCCAAATTGTGGTTCCTCGCCGAAAAATGTAACAAAAATCTAAAACTGTTTATATTTCTGTTTGGGAACTGTACCAAATCCCATCTTAATTGGTCCAAATACTGCTGCGTAATTGACCCCCAAACCTAAAATTGTGCTTTTTTTGTAAGCTCTGACTTCCCTAAAAAGACTCACAATGAGAAATCCAATTTTTTTTGTAAGTCACTATGTTCGGCCCTTTGTGTCAATTTTCATCTCGATTGCTCTAAATATGACGGCACAGGCGCCCAAAATATACACTTTTGGGATGTTCTAGACTTTGACCCCATAAACTCCTTAAAAAGGTCTGAATATAATAAATAAATAAAGGACGTCTGAGCTTATTGGAATCAAATCCAATAAGCTTTCCAACTTGGAATCCTACCGAGTTTCAAATCAATCCGAAAAGAAGTGAAGGAATGGCGGTCGGTTGAAGAGTGTTTGGGAAGAAACAGAATAACGGTATGTCTGTCTGTCTGCGGAGACATAAGTAGAACCCAAAAAATGAAAGACGTGTGTGGAATCACGAGTAAAAAAAAAACTTTGTTTGAAGTGCAGTAAGTTAGTTCTTTTAAAATAATATACAATTTTAATTATGCTTTTATATCTCTAGGAGAAATATAGATGCCATAATTAACCAGTTTTCATTCATTTTACTCTCAAAGAGCCGTTTACTGATCGGTAATTAGCAGCTCACAGTACTTCTCGCTCATACTCCACCGAGTCCCCCGGTGGGACAAGCGGTAAGTCTACGAACTTACGATGCTAGAATCCGGGGTTCGATTCCCCGCGGAGGATACAGCAGATTGAGGCTCTGCTCTAAAACAAACACACACGTACTCCAACGACACGTATTTGCTGGCTCTATGTTTGTTTGTTTTTTGAATTTCGCGCAAAGCTACACGAGGGCTATCTACGCTAGCTGTCCCTAATTTAGCAGTGTAAGACTAGAGGGAAGGCAGCTAGTCATCACCACCCACCGCCAACTTTTGGGCTACTCTTTTACCAACGAATAGTGGGATTGACCGTCACATTATAACGCCCCCACGGCTGAAAGGGCGAACATGTTTGGTGTGACGGGGGGATTCGAACCCGCGACCCTCAGATTGCGAGTCGAGTGCCGTAACCACCTGGCTCTATGATATATATATATATAAATTATACAATAACTGCCGAGTTTAGTTATCTGGAGTTTTATGTTTGATGCTTTTCACATCAGACATCGAAAGATGTAAACTATTCAACATCTCGACTAAAATTAAATGATGCAATTAAATGTTGCTTGGGTATAACTTGTAATTCGCTAGGATACGGAGTAAGTAAGGATTTTATCAAAATCATATTCTTACCAAGAGATGAAAAACTGGGCCGTCATGCCCTTTTAACTCCTGCAATAACTGACCCGTCAAAATGTCCCAACAAAGAATCATACCATCTCCACCACCAGTATAAAGTCGCTTGGCACACACGTCTGTGGCAAGAGCATTTACTGTTAGTTTGTGTTTTCCAAAAACCTGTCAAACACAACAAAGAAGTTAAAAGTCACTTTCGATAACAACAACAAAAATGACATTTTGTTTTTCATAATTATAATACAAAACGTATTAGTAAGATCCTCGAACCCCCCCAGTGGCCCAGCAGTATGTCTGCGGACTTACAACGCTAGAAACCGGGTTTCGATACCCGTGGTTGGCAGAGCACAGAGAGCATTGTATAGCTATGTGCTTAACTAGAAATAAACATACAAACTTTTTTGTTGCAATCCAGTCGAAGAGTGGTGATTTACATGCAATGGTGGTAAAGAGGCTTAGTAAGCAGTTGTATTTCATAATCTTCGTTATTTTCAGGAAAAAAAAAATCACATGGTTCACACCTTCTGGTAGAGTTATTACGTCAGAGAACTTGTTGGTGAGATGTTCTCTTAGACCGTGATTATAGAGCATGCAATGCGCGAAGATTATGCGAAGAAAACAGAGTTTTGGAGGATTTATTTGTATTGATCTAAGAAGCTGGGAAACAAACAAGTTACTCGAATGTTGACTGCCAGTTGAACGCTGAGGGTTGTGAAGTAAGTTAAATAACTTGGTACCTGAAGTAAAATTCGAGCACGGTAATTCACAAGAATTCAATGTACAACAAAAGTCTCGTTGCGCATGACCAAACAGAAGATGAGCCGTTGAAAGTTGCACGTGCAGATTAGATGTACGAAGCAAACCTCTAGACTTGTTAAAATCTTACCAGTGATACAACATTTAAAAAATGTCACGGAGCAGGTATCGAACATTTTTACCATGGGATGTATGGTTACAGCTATAATGGTAAGATTGTTTGTTTTTCAATTTCGCGCAAAGCTACACTAGGGCTATCTGCGCTAGCCGTCCCTAATTTAGCAGTGTAAGACTAGAGGGAAGGCAACTAGTCATCACCACCCACCGCCAACTCTTGGGCTACTCTTTTAGCAACGAATAGTGGGATTGACCGT